GCTTCCGACTGTCCCTCAAGACGACAATTCTGCTCCGGGCTCAAGAGCCGTCGAGGAGCCGTGCATGGAGGTGTAACAAGGCGAGATTGGAATGGGTCACACAGCCTGACTTCTGGGCCAGGAGGTCTGTCACCAGAGGGAGGAGAAGAGGTGGCATCAGAGCCAGAGGAACCATACCTGTCTTGTAGCCATATTGGGGCTATAAGGATAACCACTGATTTCTCTTGTTTCAGCTTGTTCAAGACTCTGAGGAGCAAAGGTGCTGGAGGATAGGGATATAACAGCACTCGAAGCCAACGAGTGAGGAAGGCATCTCCCAGGGAGTTGCAACTAAATCCTCTCCTTGAGCAGAAACCCATAGGAGCAGGAGGGATTGCACTTCCTGCCTCAAGAGACCCTTGTGAAAAGGATCCCTGAGAAAGGACAAGAAAGGGGAGGAGGAGTTGAAAGGGACGTTGTAGCCTGATGAAATTACTTCTAGCATCCATCAGTCCAATGTGATGAGCTTCCAGGAAGGTGTGAAATGGGAGAGACACTCCCTATAGGGTGGGTGGGGAACAGCATCCACAGAGTGGGGGAGGTTCGTGGCCCTCGACCAAAGGGTCAAAGCGGCCTAGGTCGTCTACTGGACGGTAGTAGCAGATGGCCCATTTGTGCCAGGGGGGAAAAACCCCAAGAATACTCAAATAAAAGTAAGAAATATAAATAAATTAAGTAAACACAACGAGGTAACGGATAGCTAGAAGGTTAATCTACCAGACAGCGCAATACTCAATCTCTAGCCACAGAAAGTTGAAAAAGAACTAGTCGTGGTGCGTCTGCCCTTCCCTACGTACCCTTGTCTGGAGTACAAGGATGCGCAGGGTGCAGGTGAGGACCCATGGACACTGCTGAAAAAAATCTCTGATCAAAGGCACCCGGGCACCTCATGTGGAGCACCCATAGAGACAATAACTCAAAGAAGAACAAAGTGATTTTGGGCTGCATAGATAGAGGCATCGCTGCACAAAGAGGTTTTGGTCTGTTTCTGTGCAACTCTGGGTAGGACATGCATTTGGGGCTGGCCATACCATAAATTTAGCCAGGACAGAGCTGTGAAAATGATCAGGGGGCTGGAGGGAACGACTCAGTTAGGTCTATTGTATTGTGCAAGTAGATCTTCCTGTTTGGGATGCCTTGGCGGAGGGTCCATAACCCTGACAATACGCTGGTAAGAGTCTGGGGCATGGACCGTGGTGGGAACAGAGCCGTGAATGCCATAGCGTGTTTGTGAGAGTGCAGGGTGTGGCGTAGTCAGCACAGGAGGTGGAGGGAAGGGGATGGCATCATGGGTCCTATATGGACACTGTGGTTTGCGGCATGGAGAGTTCCAGGAGTGGGCACAGAAGCATGGCATGGGCATGGCATGGTGTCTTGCTACCACGTAGGCAGAAGCATCCTCTTGTTCCGATGCAAATTCTGTCCCTGCTACTTCAACATGTCCCTGCGGGGAAATTATTTTCTCCAGCTGCTGCCTGTATTCACCCATTTTGTGAGCAAGAATTAGGAATGTCAATAACCCCCTTCTCCTCCCTCCAACCAAGGCTCCCTGCCTTACAGCAGGAATTTGAGAATGTAATTGATAAGGAACAACAACAAAAAGTGTGTGTGTGTGTGTGTGTGTGTGTGTGTGTGTGTGTGTGGTGGGGAATGGAAGCTACTTCCCCACCTTAATTGTAGCATTCACTATCAGCCAATAGTCCAGTGCAATATAACAGCTCAACAGCTACCATAAACAACAGAAAGAGCCATTACATCCATGGCATTAGACTTCCACTACAGGGAAGATTACAAAGCAGTTAGGGATGTTATCCAATCCGATCTAACCTGATTGAACCCTCCCCATACTCTGTAACTCTGATCAGACGGTTCCTTTTATGACGTGGGCAGGGAAATAAGATATCCTAAGAGATCCTCTGGAACAGCATCTCACGCACAGCAGGACACTTCGTGCCTTGTCATGGATGAACCTGGAAAACGATTGTCTTTGCCAGTCTGCCTCTTAAACATGGGATTAGGTTCTCCTTAATAAATCAATGACTTTGTCACTGGATAAAAAAGGAAGTTCCTCCCACAAAAAAGGAAGTTCCTAATTAAAATGTGTGTGAATTTTTGATGCTCATGAGGACATGGGAGTCTCTCCATTGATTTCAGCTGACTCTGGATTAGGCACTAGTGGCATAAGAGAGAGCCAGGCGTGAGTGGGGGTGAGTACTGTGGTACCCTCCTTGGCCCACTCTGCCAGGCCACCTCCATTATGTCCCATAATCCTTCTTTCCGCTTCAGTCCTGGGCCTTTTTCGAGCAGATGACTGTCAATCACGCTTGGCTACCTGGAGCTCTTTGGATGTAGACACATATCCAGTAGGCTGAGCCCATCCAAACGATTTCACTTGGGCCTGGATGGAGATTTAGAACCCAGCTTCCCAGAGAGGAGAAGCCAGAGCGTCCACCTCCCGTGCCACTAAGCTTCAAAGCTTTTCAGCATAGAAGGGCCCTATAGCCTCATGTTCTCATGGTGGGTGGAAACTGATGCCTTCCGAGTACAGAACTGCATTAAGTTCTGAATGAAATGCCTTACTGAAGAACTTAAAGGTCAGAGAGACATGATACAGGCTGGTTATGGAAACCCCACCAATATGGACTTTGATGGTAACCTTCCCAGATGGGACCTCGGAATCTTACTTTTGTTTCCTGGACTGCCTGCATGCTGCTGATACACTCTCAGTCTCCATGGCGACACAAGAGTGCTTTTTCACACCAATGGCGGTTATTGCTACGAGACACCATAATGTGCACTTTAGATAGCCGTTTCAAGGGCAACCGCAGCACATCCCGCAGAGCACGGGAGGAGGAGGGCAGGATACATTTGGCTGCTATCATTATACAAAAATCAAGCCAGACTATCAGAGGCACATTTGCGTATCTCTAGTTTTCTTAACAAAATGTAATGTAGTGCTCCTGGGAGGTGCTGGGTGGACAGTACGAGAGACTGACTGTGTATCTAGTGTATACTCGCTGTGTATCTAGTGCAAAACAGCACAGACAGCAGCAGCAACTCCTGTGGTCCCCACACAGCTCTGCCCAACAGGCTCGACGCACAAAGGGTGTGTCTCCATTGCAGTTAGCCAGAGTTATCTACACTGGAGTTAACTCCTCTTGCGTTAGCCCAGTGGCCACAGTGCAGAATACCACTCGAGCCGCACCGTGGGGTTGTGTTAGCAGCTGAGGGAGCCCACTCCAGTTAAATGCTCTGCTGCTCTTGAGATAAGGGGTTTTGTATGTGGATGGGGCTTGAGTCAGGGAAATGCTCAAGCTGTAACTCGAGTTAGCTTTGCAGTGGAGACAAGTCCCAAGAAATCTCACCAGATCAGCAGTTCTTGTGAGAGTCCCTCTGTTTGCGGCTGCTTCATTATTATTATTTATTTATATTGCAGTGGTGCCTAGGTGGTCAAGTTGGGGATCAGGGCCCTTTGGTGCTCAGCACTGTAGAATAAAAAGATGGTCCCTAGAACTGGATCCAGGAAACAGGCAACTCCTGATTCTGGGTGTGAGCTGAAATCTGAACCACCTTAGGTATCTCTGGATCTTGGACCTGAAAGTAAATCTTCCAGAATTCAGATCTCAGGTTCCACTTCAGGGCCATTTCTAACTTAAATATCAGTGAGTTCTTTCCTCGCAGGCTGCCCTGGCTGTCAGGGCCACAAAACCAATCTGTGTAGTGTTGCTCATACACCTTTAGATGACACGCACACACAAAAATAACCCAACCCCAGTGAGATGGTGAGTACAGGTGAAGCTGTAGAGTATAACCTGCTGCAATTGGAGGTTTTGCCTTACCAGGGCCTGCTCTATGAGGAGGCAGAACAGAATAGCGTTGCCCACTTCTCTAAGGCTCTGGAATACATCAGTCTTCAGCTCCGCATACTCAATGATGTCCTTCAGCTGGTGATGGAAAAACTCCAAGATTCCTAAATAGACACAAGAAGGGTAAGACGATCGGGAAAGGAAGAGCAGCAGAACCAAGCTAACCAGTGGCTCGTGCAAAGAACCAGTCAATGCCTAATGTTTCCTGACCACTAACTGTGATCCTGGATTACTAATTATAAATAACCGCCCTCTTTATGAAAGGTCTGCAACCAATGAGCCTGATTCTCCTCTCACACCTGAGTAAATAAGGAAGAACTCACTTGAGGTCAAAGGAGTTGCATAGGTGTCAAAATAGTAGATAGGCATTCAGAACGGTTCTGATTCTCCTATTTTCCAAAGCTACCAGGACCAAGCAAATTTTCCTACCCACCCCTATTTGCAAAAAGTTAGTGGTATTGAAAATAAACTTTACATGTATTCCTGGAATTAGTGCAGCTTTTGGGTCAGCAACAACAAACCTATAATAATGTACTTTAAAAAACCTTGAAAGCAAAACAAAATACTTTTTTTAAATGTTCCAGATCAGTGATCCAGGTTTCCATACAGAAACTTTCAATAACTTGCCAAGTGTCGGGTCTTTCGACATACAGTACTTTCTGTCATCGGTCACAAAACGTCTGATGCAGACTCTCATTTCCACAGCTAAAAAAGGTGCATTATGGAGCCACAGTAGCTGTTCCATAATTAAAGTTGTAAGACATTTTTCTTTAAAGGCCAGATTGCAATGCCATTCCCAGCTTTTACAAGCAGGCTTCCCTTCAAATGCTGCATGTGCACATTCTAGCAACACAAGCTTTGGGGAGAGTTTGAGGTTACACCAGACAAGAGAGATAGGAAATCTAATGTGATAAGCCTCATGATGTTTAATTTCACGAGAATACTATATATTTATACATTGCTAACGTGCTCTTCACTGTAACATCTAGACTAGTGGCTCTCAAACTTTTTTACTGGTGATCCCTTTCACATAGCAAGCCTCTGAATGCGACCCCCCCTTATAAATTAAAAACACTTTTAAAATATATTTAACACCATTATAAATGATGGAGGCAAAGCGGGGTTTGGGGTGGAGGTAGACAGCTCACAACCCGCCATGTAATAACCTCATGACCCCCTGAGGGGTCCCGACCCCCAGTTTGAGAACTCCTGATCTAGACAGTCTTATAACACATCATTTTAGGAACTTGGAGAATAAGCCAATCATTGTTTTGTTAATATCTTGTGTTTGGATTAATGCTGCATGCATGGGTGGGGAGGCATGCTACATTACGTATCCTAGCACTGACCTGGAGATCCATATTCATGTCTTGGCAAGCGGCATATCTTGGGCATCACCTCTATCAATGTTTTCACATACTGCAGAATGGTGCCCTGTAACTGTCGGAAAGAAAAGGAGATAAATTAACTTGAAAGGATGAATTATAGAATCATAGAATATCAGGGTTGGAAGGGACCTCAAGAGGTCATCTAGTCCAACCCCCTGCTCAAAGCAGGACCAACCCCAACTAAATCATCCCAGCCAGGGCTTTGTCAAGCCGGGCCTTAAAAACCTCTAAGGAAGGAGATTCCAGCACCTCCCTAGGTAACCCATTCCAGTGCTTCACCACCCTCCTAGTGAAAAAGTTTTTCCTAATATCCAACCTAAACCTCCCCCACTGCAACTTGAGATCATTACTCCTTGTTCTGTCATCAGGTACCACTGAGAACAGTCTAGATCCATCCTCTTTGGAACCCCCCCCTTTCAGGTAGTTGAAGGCAGCTATCAAATCCCCCTTCATTCTTCTCTTCTGCAGACTAAACAATCCCAGTTCCCTCAGCCTCTCCGCATAAGTCATGTGCTCCAGCCCCCTAATCATTTTTGTTGCCCTCCGCTGGACTCTTTCCAATTTTTCCACATCCTTCTTGTAGTGTGGGGCCCAAAACTGGACACCGTACTCCAGATGAGGCCTCACCACTGAGTCTCTACTCAGAGCACAGTCATTTTAAAGGGGCAACTTTTGTGGACTGGCTACGAGAGCAGAATGCAGTTTTGATTACAAAAACCTCAAACCATGCAAAACTCGCCCGCTTTTTGCTTTCATTATACACATAAAACTCAGCCCACAAGTTTGGGGCTCTTGTATGGTTTCACTCTGAAACCAACTCATGATCTTCTGTAGTTTCCGTCTGAAAGCTCAGCTCCGAGCACTTTGTTTGTTTGAACCTGAATCGCAAGCCGCATTTGGAGGTGAGAATCCAGATGGATCAAAAATAGCATAAAAAATTTCACTCACAGTGGCTACAAAAATCATTCTTCAGCACAGGAAAGATTCCTTCTGCCTAAATACTGATGACAGGAGGCATGCTATTGACATTTGACAGAGAGCATGCTACAGAAAATGGAATTGCACTGGGTGTGTGTATGTGGGGCGGGGGGGGTAATTAGCCACTAGAGCTCCGAAGTTGTGAATTAAAATGGATAAGAGCAACCAGATTTGGTGATAAAAGTATGTGCTGTAATTACATTATATAACTGTATCCTGTATATATTTTATACAGGATTCTGCACTGAGCGTAGCTTAGCCAGTCCCAAGGCCCCTATCTTTGCTCTGACCACTATCAATTTCAGATGCTAGCTAGAGCTCTGTACACTAAGCAAACACAGCCGACCCCTCCAATTACTCCTGTCTTATGAACGTGAAGTGAAAATACTTTGAGATCCTCGGCTTCACACTTCTCCATTAGACAAGATCAAGATGATGCATTAACATTAGAGCCAAAAATGAACTGAAGCATTTGCAATGAATACTGTTTGCTGACCAAAAAATCTCCTCAACAAAAGCTTTTCTGGAGGAACAACATGATCAGAAATCATTTTATATGCTGTCAATTAAGGCCCTGGAATTGCACAGATAACATTTCTTCTGAACATCAGATTTATCTTCTGAGAGAAAGCAGAGAAGACAGGAAGAAAATTGTCTCTTTCAGCCAGTGTTAAGAGCATCAGGTAGTGGTGGACAAACTGGCATTGATAAGAACTCATCCAAACCTTCACACAAAATAGGAATCTTTTTAGAAATTAAAAAAAAAGTATGGCTCGTTTCTTTTTAATTTTCTTTAATCTCTTCCCTTCCTTTAGTTATCTAGGACCAGAAGTCCCAAATCAGCTTGCTCCTGTTCATCAAGATCTATCTAGGTATTTATGTGGGCCTCATCTGTGTAGTATCTGAGCACAGTCATTGATGGATTTTACCTTCAGAACATCCCTGTGAGGTAGGGAAATACTATCCCCATTTACGGATGGGGAACTGAAAGACAGGGTCGGTTAAATGACTTGCTCAAGGTCACACAAGGAGTCTGTGGTTGAACTGGTGTTCGAACCCAGGTCTCAAGTCCCTTCCTCCTAGACCATGCTCAGGAAGTGCCGATAATGTGCAAGAAGAGCGTCTTTTCATGAAGCTTATAGCCCCGTTGCTAGGCAAAAGAGGCTCAGCGGAACTTGGCTACAGTATTTACATAAAGCATATCCAACACCCACAACTCTCTTTGAAGTGAATGGGATTCCCTAGCACCTAGATTCATAGATTCATAGATTCTAGGACTGGAAGGAACCTCGAGAGGTCATCGAGTCCAGTCCCCTGCCCGCATGGCAGGACCAAATACTCTGAAAATCAGGCTATGTATACAGGTGTCTAACTATAGATGGATGGATGTACATACCTTAATGGGAACATTTTGGCCAAAGTATCCAAAGCCTAGGCTGATTATCTGACCCAAGCCTCCCAAAGCAGTGAGGTTTGCCTATCATTTGTTCCAGGCCCATAATTACCAGGCTTTTGACGATCTTCAGCAGCTCCTCCATCACCACTGCGATCCCTTGATAGCCTAGGAGCCGGCAGATTGTCTTGAAATGAGGAGGCCCCACGAAGTTGCGGTAGGAGCTGTAGATGTGACTGTAGGCAATGTTCAGTGGCTGAAAAATGAGAGGCACAAAGACAATTATGAGGACAGGCGCATTTGCAAGGGTGATACCTAATACTCTTTTCCAGGCGGTGTTTTATGTCCCACCTGTTCTGATACCTTTTACAGAAGACATAGGGAATGAATATATTCCATGGCACACCTCTTTTTTTTGGGAGGGGGCACCATGAATTTTTACTTGATGACTCAGTTTAGAAGAGCGTTTGAAACTGACACCTTTTTGTTGGATAACATCCTCAATGATAGCCGGGCAATTCTGGCTGAAGGGTTTGTTGGCCGCACAAGAGCAACAGCCTTGGCTTTTGTCTACATACCATATAAACAAGAATGGTTGCCTATTGAGAAATCCTTGGCAACTGACGAGTAGGTATTATTGCATACTATCTCCCCATCCCTTTGTCTCACTGTGTCCTTCAGTCGAAAGCCCACTTGTCTCTTTTCTGTGTTAGCAAAAGGTCTGCATTTGAATCCTGACTGGAACTTCTGAGCGCTGCTATCGCTATGGCTACGTCTTCACTACCCGCCGATCCGGCGGGTAGCAATCGGTTTATCGGGGATCGACTTACCGCGTCTCGTGAGGACGCGGTAAAATCGATCCCTGATCGCTCTGCCGTCGACTCCGGAAATCCACCTCGACAAGAGGCGGCAGCGGAGTCGGCGGCAGCGCGGCAGCGGTCGGCTTTCCCCCATCCTCACCACCAGGTAAGCCGACCTAAAATACGCAACTTCAGCTACGGTATTCACGTAGCTGAAGTTGCGTATCTTAGGTCGGAACCCCGCTGTAGTGTAGACCTAGCCTAAAACAGTTAGATATTCTTGATGAGGAACAGGGGGCAGAGGAAAGGCCACAGGAAAGAAGGAGGTGAGGCGATGTGCTTGTCTTGCCTTCCCTTCCCTTTATGCACTACTCCTGTACCCTTTTCCCACTGCCGAGGTTCTTGTTCTCTGCTTCAGGCTACCCCTGCTGCAACCACGGCCAGCGCTCCTAAGTGCATCTGGCTCCTGCCAATCTCTGACAATTATTGTTAATTACGGTAGCACCTAGGAACTCCAATCAAGGCTCAGGCCCCCACAGGTGCTGTACAGACAGGTAACAAAGTCCCTGCCCCAGTCTAGGTGTTGGACGGGATGTGACAAATGGACAAAACAGACAAATGGGGTGAAGGAAGATGGGAGGAGGAGGTTGCAAAATGAACAGCATTTAGCAAATGAACAGAAGTCTTCGCTTGGCACGTACCTCACTAAACAACTGTAATGTAGGAGAGTAGGAACTACAACAGCTGGTAAGCAAACAGCATGGGAAAGGACATGAACCAGTCCCCTCTGTGTCCTGTAGGCGTCAGTGTAGGACTCTGTAGTTTTCTTGGTATTTATCCATGTGTGATTGTGTGCTAGTGTCTGAATTTGGCCCTGTGGGTGGGTGGATGTCTCAAAATGGAACAGTGGGGTTTAGTTTGGCTCCTGGCCGAAAATGAATTTCCATTTGGTCTTAGAATAGCCTTGGAAACAGGGAGCGTGCTGCAGTGCTTTTTGTCTCTAGAATATTGGTTGGATCCAAGCAGCGTCGAGAGAAGCCAAAGGGAGAGGAAGGGGAAATTAATTCAGTTGTGTAATTTGAAAGGGACGCCAAGTCAGTTTAACTGAGCCAGCCGAATGCTGTGCGTGCCAGGGGCTTGCTCTGAAAAGGACGCGTTTGCATCAGGGTTTGGCACCATAAGAAAAGGACCGTGTTCTCACTTCCTCTGCCCCCCTCCCCATTACAGTAACTGCTGCATCAATAAGCAGAGCCAAATATATTCTTCAAACAACATCTGGCACAAAGCGCCTCTCCCAGTGAAATGCCAATAAGCCCCCTGCCTGTCTTTGGTTAACCAAAGAGATGAGAAAGCAGAAGGGAGGACATTTTCTGCAGACATGACAAAGAGTCAGGTAGATACTGTACTCTAAGGGGATTCCCCGCCATTCCAGTAACGGAGCACATCTTAACCACCTTTGGCTATGCTACAAGAGGGCAAGGAGTGATGCCCTGCCTGCCAACAGGAGAGGGAGAGTGTGCAGAAGTGGCAGAACAGGACAAATCAAGAATACTCTCGAAAGTCACTGCTTCCACCATCTGCCACACACGTGCTGGTGCTAGCCAGGAGATTAATACAGTTATTCTGCGGCGCTGGCGGTCTTACCTGCCCTTGGCCCACTGAGCCATCTCTCACAGACTAATTCTAACATTCCAAACCTCTGAGCAGCTACAAAAGCGTGGCATTTTTTTTAAAAACACCAGCCATAAAACCATTCCCCCCTTTCTCTCCCAAAGGTAGACTTTCTACTCCCTGACACAATACTCATTTGCTCACTTGTCAGTTACTTTAATCAACAAATTAACCATCCTCATCATTTTGTTTAAACCAACAGACTCCTTTCTCTGTTCCAAAACCCACTTGCCAATTGGAACTATTAGGAACTAGGTGAAAAGGGATATGTCATTTGGAAGCCAGGAATTTCCCTCTTCCTATGGGATAAGGCCCAGGTAGATTGCAAGATGCCATACCCAGAGAACTATGTATGGAAAAGTTATTGTAGGTAACTTATAGAAGTGTCTAAATTGCATTCATTAACATTTTTCTCTTTCACCAAGGCCTGTATAGCAGGGCACATGGTAATTAGGAGACTGGTCCATAGCCTATTGAAGTAGATGAAAAGACTGCCATTGATTTCGATGACAAAAATAGTACCAGTAAATGTTTTCATAAACTCTTTAAAGGAGCAGAAGCATGATGTGTGACTGTTGCAGGAGTGATGCAATCATCCCATATTCCTGCCAATAAAACTGTTATGCCAGGTCGCAGCTAATTACAGTAGCATCCTGTTGCTGTAGCTTTTGCAACATATCATTACAGCCATGTGGGACGTCTGTGAAACATACTGCTGTGCAGACCGGGTACGTGAACACGGAGAAGGGAAGCCCCACGTCACTTCCATGCTTTCCCTAGAGATTTATCTGCACACAGAGGCATTGTGTGCCCTGCATTTTCCATGTCTTTCTAGCACTAGCTACCAGCGTGGGGACTTGGGGTCCAGTCCAGGCCAAGAGGTGCTGGGAGTCTGAGGGTCCTGTGGAGCAATGGAGAGAACCTGAGCTGTCCCCCCCGACAGCTGACTGATGAGACTGCGGTGTCACGTGAGCTTGTCAATGATGGTGGATTTTCCAAAGCCTAACTCTGCTTCCAGTAACGTCAGTGGGAGCTGACTTCAAAGGGAACAGAGCTGGGACAATGCTGAGCGTTTTAAACATCCCACTCCATGTCTTGTGACGGGCCTTTGCTTTGCCGGAGTGGATCCCACTGCTCTTGTTGCACAGCTCCCCACCGAGGGTCGGTCTGCCCTACAATTATACACCTGTGGTTGGCCCGTGTCAGCAGACTTGGGCTCACGGGGCGTAGACCGCAGAGGCTATGAAACTGCAGAGCTCAGACTCTGGGTTTAACTGCAGTGTAGGCAGAGCCTCAGTGGGATACCAAAGTCTCCTGTTTTCTCCCATGAAGACACCCATTCACACTTCCTGCCAGCAGGTGCTGAAGATGGCTCTTTGGGAACACGATGATTCCCGTGATGGGGCAGCACTGCCATCAAAGAGCAATTCCACTGATGGCCTCCGCCCTGGGATGGAGACCTGTTCTCTCCAGGTGCAGCATTAGCATCCAATAGCCTCCCACCTCTCCAGCTTTCATCCCACTTCCACATTGCTTCCGATGACCAGTGACTGACGGAGCCGGAAAGAAGTTTTTCAAGTTTACTTTTCCTTAAAAGGGGAGGGGGGCACTAGCACTGAAGCTGCAGCCTCAATCCCCATTTAACTGGACACTTCGAGAAAATCTATTTTATAACGTGTGTTGCCTGCCAGCAAAACAGGATGATTCATTCCGTCCTGTCTGAAAGATGATGTAAGTTCCACCAAGCTTTATGCAAAGCCACGCGGTGCTGTAATGAAAGGCGTGCATCTACTAATAATACCATGGCTTTGAGCAATTAAAACATAACTCCATTTAAGGGTGAAATGCACAGCTTGGGTTAAACAATGTAGGAGGTAAGTGTATTTTAAGACAAGACAGCTGAACATGCAAGCTGGCTTCATAGTACCATCCATTCCCTCACACAGGCCCTCTGCCTGCAGCCCCTCTGCGCTCTGTGTGCCAGGTGAGTGACAGCCTGCTCCTCCCTCGGGGTGATGCAGCTCATGATCAAACACGTATCAGAAAGCTCTGCTGTGGCTTGGGGGCCAGCCAACAGCAGCAGAACAGGGCACGCAGCCAGGCTGCTCGCACGGTACAGGTGTTTGGGCCAGGAGGCTGGGAGTGCAGACAGATTGGGATATGCAGAGATGGGTCTTGTTCCCACAGTCTCAGAATCCAGAAGGAACTAGCAGTCGGTCTCCCTTTGCCATGCACCTGGCAGAGCGTGGTGGGAAAATCCCCATTCCACGTTAGGATCTGCCGAGGTGATCAGCTGTTGCTGGGATCCCTGAGCACAGGAGTTAGCAGGAGTTAGAATCCCAGTCGGAGCTTGACAGCTCACCTTCAAGTGAAAGAATTCAGGCCTTAAGCCGTAGAAAGAAAGAAAAAATGCCACACACCCGAACCCTCTTGAAAATGAACTTCTAACGAAAACCCTTGCTAGGCAACCAACTTCACCTCCTGCAATAGGAGAGCCCAGTCCCTCCCGGTAGGGGATGCATCATATTGAACGGATCCTGTTTCTCAGCCAAAGGGCCAAAAACTCTCCTCCAGAACACATAAATGCCCAGTCCTATGTGGTATCCACAGCACATCCACAGCACAGAAAATATGTCCTTTGTGACGGAATGTGTCCAGATGGTTTTATCTTAATGTGACAATCCTATAGGCTGCTGTTGTTATTTATCGGGAAGGGGGTTCTCAGTACAGGAGGATAGCGGGGAACATGCCTGGCGCTTTCCCTACCAGTGGCTGTGATGCACTC